TCCACTTCAAGCACGGCAGATTCGAAATGGTACTTGGCACATTGTTGGGTAGTGGAGCCTTTTCCATTGGTAGCATGGTACATTTCAAAGGGTGTTGCGGCACTATTTGTCAATTCTATTGGCCACAAGGCCAAATGAATGGACACATCGCCCTTTCGAATGAGCGCCAAGCCAAGAACGTTGAAAAAAGTCCCTACTCAATAGAAAAAAGGTGTAGTACTACGTAGTAATACATACGCCTAGCGTTGTGTTGTGATTGACTTGGTCTATTACTAGCGTTAGTTAGTACATGTAGTGGTTGGTGTTGACCAGATTTTACGTGCCAGAAAGATATGGACATGCCACCTCTGCGACACGACACGCCAAAACTCTTGCTTGCTTGCTGCGCACTTCTGAAGGCTGCTCTGCATAACAAACTGGTACTGTAGTAGGAACACAACTTCCACAGCAGATCGCTGATGCCGACAAGGAGGTCGCTTCTCCCGCTGTAGTTGCTTAGTGTAGCGCCCCTCCTCTTCCAGACGACATGTGATAGAGCAGTCATTGACTCAAAGGCTTTGTAATCTAACGTGAGAACCCCACCAACCTCGTCCGTGGCCTACCTACAACTCTCCCAGGACACGAGTTCGTTACTGTAACCCAGTCCCACTTTCATTTCAACTCGTTAACCAAACATGTGCTTGTGGAACCGGATATGGCACACCTTGGCGACGTCGGCCAAGTTTTTGAGCGCTTCCTCCAAATCAGCGCGGGTGTGCGCGGCGGAGACGCAGAACCGGACGCGGCCGAGCAGGAGCGGCGTGGCTGGAAAGCCGACGGTGACCACGGCCATGTTGCGAAGCAGACATTGTCGGCTGAACTCTGCGATCTTGGAAATCGAGTACAGCATCACGGGGATTACAGGCGAGTCGAACTGGCCCAGTGTCACCATCCCCGCGTCCATGAGTCCTTGGCGCAGAAAGTTGGCGTTGTCCTGCAGTGCCTTGAGCTTGGTCGCGCCAATATTCGTGCCGTCGCGCCCCATAATGACCTTGAACGACGCAAGCACCTGGGCGGCAACTACGGGGGCCAACGACGTGCCCATGAAATGCCCCGACGACGCATTCTGCAGCAACGACACAACCTCTTTCGACGCCCCGATGTAGCCCCCCATGCCCCCAAACGACTTGGTGAACGTCCCCATCAAAATGTCAATTTCACTGGGGGACACACCAGTGTACTCGCACACGCCTCGCCCAGTGTCGCCCAGCGCGCCAATGCTGTGCGCTTCGTCCACGTACATGTACGCCTTGTACTTCTTGGCAACGTCCACAATCGATCGGAGTTTACAAATCTCGCCTTCCATCGAGTAAATGCCCTCAACGACCACGAATATCTTCTTCCACGGTCGATGCGTGCGGGGCTGGCCTGCCGCGATCTTGGTGCGGAGCATCACCTCCAAATGCTTGGCGCTGTTGTGCTTGAACACGGCCACGGCGGCACCGGACGCGCGGATGCCGTTGACGATCGACGTGTGGTTCAATGCGTCGCTGAGCACGAGCGTGCCCGGACCCATCAACGCTGGAATCGACGTCGAGTTGGTGCCATACCCCATGTTGAACACGATCGCGGCTTCCTTGCCGATAAACTCGGCCACAAGCGCCTCCAGTTCGACGTGCACGGGTGTCGTGCCGAACTCGGCCGACGGCGAGTTGCTGCACACGGTGTGCGTGTCCACCTCAGGCAACACCATCGACGCACACGTGTTCATCCAGTCGTCGGCAAACCCGAGATAGTTGTACGAGCCCAAGTTGATGCAGTTCTGGGTCTTGGGCGTCCACTGCATGGACTTGTTGCCGTCCGTGGACACGCGCTGGATCACGTCGATGCGCGCCCCGGGGGCCGACGACACGGGACGGTTGAACACGTCCTGGACGCGGTGGTAGATGCGATTCGTGTAGAAGTTCTCCCATGGGATAAACATGTCGGCACATCCATCCTTGCTGTCGCCCTTCGAGTGGTACCTCGAATACCCACTCCACCACCCGAAGAAGTCACGGATACGCCCAAACGTGATGAGGATGGCAAAGTTAAAGTAGCACAGGAATGCCGCAAACAGCGGCACCTTTTCTTCCTCATGCGAATCCTCCTTGGAGTACGCGGCGGCACTCTTCTTCTTCTTGCCATCTACTGGCGGTGCCGATGCTGTCGCCGCCGTGGCCATAATCGTCGTCGATTAGCTTCACCTTCCAAAAATCACCAGGAGAGGTGCGAAGAATCTTATCCGGACGTGTAATAAAGGATCCGATCGTCCGAATCCGGATGTTGCATCAACAACACCTGGCCGGTTCTCCGACAGGAAAGCCACCACCATGACTCTACGACTATACACTCGTAGCTCAAGCAGATTACAAGTTACTCCTACGTCTACTTCTCAATGTACTTGAACTGAAAGATGGCGTTGTCGCCGCCACCAAGAGACACGGCAAACATGTCACCTTTCGTGAAGGTACAATCGGTCACGTGCGACGAGTGGCCCAGGTATTGCCTCGACTTGGACTGCAGAGACACAAAAGGATCAGCATAAGCGCCTCGTGGGGCAACGCACCTTGGGTTGGACGCACGGATACCGGAACAAGTTGACGTGGCCACTGTCGTCCACTGTCATCAAACTCTTATGGGAATTGCTTCGGCATGCGCCGTTGATGTCCGTGCCATCGGCGCGCTCAGGCCATATGCCTGATGCACACCTCAAAACCAATACAATGATGGTATTGCTACCTTGCACGGGCCACCCAAGAGTACAAGTCCACGTGTGCCACTTGACATCCCGCAATGTGTTAGCACTCGTCACTTGCTTTCCACTCGCGACGTCCCCTAATTACAGACATACACCATGACATAAAATCTATCACATGACTGTAAGTGCATGGAGTAGCTTACAAAAGAGCAGTTCGTACGCGCCGCAGTTACTCTGGAGATAATGGGTATCCAGCGTAAAGTCCAAATGCGTGATGTAACTGCTGTGGCCCTGCGAGTCGAATTGGTGTAACGTTAAACCAATCGAGAGCATTCACGACATACTCGAAGGACACATCGTTTGGAGTAGGCCGGGGCCGTGTACAAGTAAATGCGCTGGTCGTGGCTTCCCACGGCCAATGTCTTGCCATCGAAGGAGTACTTGACAACCGATATCGCCTTGATGCTCACCCTCAACTCGACCACCACGCCTTCGAGTCCTCCTTTGAGGATCGTCACCTAATCACCACAATGAATTCCACCAACCCCAGCTGGATTGTCTTGAAGCGGTAAGTCATACCGAACCATCCATCGCGCCCACGGCAATATGGTTTCCGTCAGGGGACAATCCGACGGCGCGGCACTTTTTATGCAACGGTAGCTTGGCCAAGCACGAACGGTTCGGAGCATCCCATAGACGCACGATACCGTCGTCACCGGCAGTGACGATCTGCTGCTTCTCAGGGTGCGCCCCCAGGCCCCACAACTCCCCCCCGCCATGCCCCTACTCGTGTTGGTAAATTGTTTCAAATCGTTATGCATCACAAGGATAGCCTAGAAGACCTCGATGAACGTTCGCATTGGCACCGCCGGTTTCCGCAAATCGGTGACGTCAACTTCGCATATTTCACACGCTTGGGTTCCAAAGAGCACTTTGCCGTTGTCGATGCTGAGGCTGCGAATGCTACCCCCACCCCCACTTGCCGATTTCAAGTCAAACTGCATCAACACTTCAAACGACGCCCCCCAAAACTTGATCACGCCGTCCTTTCCCCCCGAGAGAAGACTCTTGGTCGTGACATCGTAACACAAGCAATTCACTGCCCCCTTTCAAACCACGCTGTCACATCTTGCAACCCATTGGAGGCATGCTAAGTACGTACTTCGTGGCCTTTGACAAGGGCTATGCAATTTCGACCTTTCCATTGATACAACGATCCATCGGCTTGGCCTGTGACTGCTTCCCCCAGCACAAACACCGCGCACAGGACGGTGCTGCGACTGTCTCCTTTGCCAAACGAGCCCTTCTTCACCGACACGTTCGACTGCGACACGCTCCAAAACAGAACCGACTTTTCTCCCACGCTGATGCCGTCTTTGTCCATGAATGCAATGCCGAGAATCTACGGCATCATCGTCATGAATGTCCAATGCTCGAAATCCTATCAAAACCCGCCTACCGATTGCTTTGACGCTGTGGCCTTGGCCACAAGCTTCCCCTGGAGATTGTAAATGGCGATGCTGTGGTCGTCATCCATGCCATGTGTCGCCAGCAAGTCGCCTTTGGTATTGAACGCCACGTGACTCACTCCTCGTTTGTGGAACCCAGACAGCACACAAAGACTCGACCCCGAGTTGGCGTCCCACAGGATAACCTTGGGGGTGCGTCCGCGCTCGCCACTCGCAACTAGATGCCCTTCGGGGTGCACTGCCAAACACATGATGTCGTCGGTGTGGCCATAGTGAAAGATCTGGCGGTGATGTTGCTTGTCGTACACGATGCCAAGTGCCGCCGCGTGGTAGATGATTGTGTTGGCGCCGGCACCAAAGCTCAAATTATTGCGCGTGTCGAACCCACGGTAGCCGTAGACAAAGGAAAGCTCGAGGGAGCTGAGTGGGGCTTCGTTGTCGTCTACTCGAGTTCTGTTATAAACTCAGTCCAGCACATGAAGTACCTGGCTTGGACGTCCAATTGGTGGGTTCTCGGATGGCGCCTACCCATGGCTTGACAGCCATAAACTCGTCCCCTTTCCCCCCTTCAAAGTCCTTGTCAATATCGTCCTTGGCTAGAAGTCGCTCATCGGCCAAGTGCACTTTGGTTGAGTTTGCAGCGGTATGATGGACGGTGACGGGGGCGGCAGGGGGAGAGGCGGCTTGTGCTTGACGTCGTTCGTTCGCTTCGGAGACATAGTCGGTGGCCCACACCAACAGCGTTCGATCGTACGTGCCGACGCTCACGAGAAACCGATTGTGTCTGGTAAAGCGAATGCAATGTATGGGCGACGCGTGGCCCCCGTACAATTTCGACGCGCTGGGCTCGACACACGGATACCAAATCAACTGAATGTGGCCGTCCATATCACCCACGGCCACGACCGGTAAAATGGACGAAAACTTGGCAGTACCCACGACATGTTCGTCCGAGTGCACGCGGTCCGCGCACGAGAGACCTACGGTGCCGTCGATCTACCACGTTGAAAAAACAACATCAACATGAGCATTCATCAAACAGACGAGAGGTGTTACATTGGCACCGAGGAGGGACCACGTCGATGGACACGTGCACGTGTGCCAGTGGGTCTCCCGGGCAGACACCGAGTGCTCCAAGTGTTGTCCGGTGCTAACATCCCAAAACGCACATTGCAGTTCCAACGCATTGCTTCGCAGGATGGTCGAGTCAAAGTTGAAATCCAAGTGGGTGATGGGGTGCCGACTCATTGTGCCTTTGGGCTCGCACTTGGCGTGTAGTGCGTACGTGAGGTTATCCTTGATGGCGTACACGTAAATGGACGCGTCTGTGCATGCCAGCGCGAGGAGCTTTCCGCAGGGAGAGTACTTGATGTCCACGCACGCCTGCTTGCAGCACTCGATCGAAGTCACGTCGTCCAAGGTCGTATCGTGGACAATCACCAACGACCCTGTGGTCAGGGCGATGGCCAGGTGAAACCTGGCCTTGTCGTCTTGGGTTTTCGAATACGCCAGAGCTTTCGCAGGGGCGGGGAGTGTCTTGTACTTTACCTGCAGGTGTGTCTGCAGATCCCACACTCTCAACGACTTGTCTGTGCCGGACGTGGCAATGATGTCGAGGGTCGGGTGACACGTCAGCCCACTGACCGTGCCGCTGCTCTGGCCATGCCACTGCATTAGAATCTGGGGCTGCGTCGGTTTCGGCGCCATCGACGTGTTGAGCCACTCAAAACAACTCGGCGCCAACTCGAGCATCGTGCATTCGTCCGTGACAGCAAACGTCAAGTCTTCTTTGGCAGCAAGGCCCAGAATGCTAGTGGGGGCCCCCACAGGCTGCCATCGACCCAGCATCACGAGGTAATCCTTTCGATGGGAAGGTTGGCACAGCCACACAAAGATGGCGCCGTCTGCGGATGCTGTCACGACGTGCTTAAGTGATGGTTGGTACACGGCACATGTGACCGCCGCGGCGTGGGCTGTGATGAGCTGACAAGCGTGATGGTCATCCCAGACAATCAGCGCGCCGTCTTGCGCCCCCGTGATGGTCTTCAAGTCGCCGACACTGGCAACGCACGTCAACGTTTGTATGATGGCAATGCGACCAAAGATGCCGCGCTGCGAACGAAGGTAGTGGTTGTTAACCACTGTCCAGAACATCACATGGTCCACACCACATGTTGCAAACGACGCGTCGTTGTTGGTGAAACTGCACGCCAGCACCTGTAGAACAAACGTGTTTGTCTATTAGTGTGCCAGTCAATCACTGCGACGTACTTGATCCAACGTGTTCTGGGCGGTGGCCACTACGTGCCCTTCTTTCCACAAGATACACACCACCGTGTGCACGGCGTCTGAGAGGACGGCCACGACGAGCTCTCCGCTGTGTTTGAACGCTAGTAACGTCACGGGGGCAGAGACGGGGAGCACCCCTAGTGTTTCCAGGGTGGTCGTGTTCCAAAACGAGATTTCAATCGATGACCCTGTCGCGGCAACCTTTCCACTTGGATGCACGGCCACACTAAATGCAACAATGAGCGTCGTACGTCACCTCTGAAACCACAGCTTTGGATGCATGTAGCCGACCTCGTGATGCTCTTTTTGTGGTGTTGATAATGACGTTGTTTTCGAGTGGAATAGTCAAAGAGGACGCCGATGGTGGCCGCAGCGTAGACAACCTCGCCTGCATCGGTCACGCCCAATTTCGCAGACCCTTCAGTGACGTTGATGCCATGGACCCACACAAGCTCCAGATCCAAGTCTGGCGCTTCCCTAGTACATAACAAGAGCTCTGTAAGGCTACTATAACTCAAGCGAGAAAATGTTGAATGCAAAGGTTATAAACGCCTACGCTTTGTAGGCAGGATTGGGTTGATAATACGACGGTGTCAGTAGGGTGGATAGCGCTGTGTTGGGCAGTCGCGATGCCGGAGTGGTGGTATGCATAGACATGTCCATTCTGGACGCTTCAGACAACTAAGTTGTCAACGCATCAACCAATGAATGTACCAGTTATAACGAATACTATTTACCTCACGGAGCGGCTTGGGCTGCTCGTCGACTGTTTCCCGCGTCAGTTTCCACTGACACACACACCGATCGTGGCTGCCAGCAGTGATCAAAACCGAGTCGTGTCTGGTGAACCCGCAATGCACCATCCCACGACCAAGTCCTTGCGATGGACTGCGACCGTGGCCAAGCACTTGCTTTTGCAGTGTTTGGGCGGTGACCGCAGGGTACGTACTGACCCCAACGTACCCGTCGTGGGTGACGACTGCGACGAGGTTGTGGCGATGGTTCACAGACACACTTGCTACTTGGTCTTGTACACCATGCAGCGCCTGAATCGAGTGGCCGATCGTGCTCTTCCACGAATGCCACGTGGCGTCCCGGATTTTCTGCATCACGAACACGCGAGACGCGCAAAGGACGTCCCAGAATCGCAGCGTCGGGCCGTGCTGAGACTGCAAGTACCGTCCGTCGACGGAAAAGTCGAGGGTGCTTGCGGCTGTCGCGACCTCGTTGGGCATGGGTTTGAGCAGGGCGTGGCGGGAGAGCTGCACCCGACCGCTGGACACGTCGACGCGGTAGAGGTAGATGACCCCATTCGCACAGGATGCAGCGAGGAGGCGGTCCCCCAGCGCGAACTTGATGGCCACGATTTCTTTGAACGCGTGACGGAAATTCAAGTGCATGGCGGTGAGGGCGTGGTCGACAAGGACAATCTAACAAGAAACTCGTCAGTACATTTGCGCTAATGGAGAGCAAGTTGACGAAAATATGGGGCAGAGGGCTACCGTGCCGTCCGTGCAGCCCATCGCAATCCATTCAGCGTCCGTCGAGTACTCAATACACCGCCCCGGGGGGAGCTGGAGCAGGGCTAGGGAGTGCACCTGTTGGCGTTTTCGCAAACTCCACCGGCGGATCTTGCGATCGTCGCCACACGTGACAAACTCGGCCCGTTTGTTGGTTGTAGACAGCCCCGTACACCGTTGGGTTTGGTGAAACGCAGTGATGCGATGCACGACGTTCGTGGCCTCTTCCACTTGGATGATGACGCTGGACCGAGTGCCTACAAGGAGGTAGCCCCCGTGGACACCGCCGCTGCGATAGCACAGACTCGCGATGCGATAGTCGTGCATGTTGAGGTTGAGTGTGCTCAAGTCGACGGTGTGGCCGATGGATTGCAAGGTCGTGTCCCATTGTCGTATCGTACCGTCCTTTCCGCCCGAAAAGAACGACCCCATGCACATAAAGAGGCAGTTGACGGACTCTTTCTCCTGTAAATATGCCCATGGTTTGAGTTTAGAAAGTCAAAGTGCTCTCGACAAGATGGAATGGTGTTTGGTATGCACACTGTACGTTCCGTACCGGGTGGGCTTGGGCAGTGCGCACGAGTTGTTTGCCTTGAAACTGATACAATTGCCCCAGACTGGTGCCGACAATAACGTATTGCTGGAAGAACACGACCGACAAGAAACCCTGCAACAGTCCTTTGGTCCCCAAACTGGCGCGCTCTTTTTTCAGAATACGGTGCTCGACAGTGAAAAACTCCAAACTCTTGTCCCCGGCCACCACCTACATCCCCGCATACACAACACATCTGGACTTCACGACTATTCTAGACGAACTAAATACCAATTCCGAGCCGTTGTCGTGCAGTGCCACCGCCAGCGCTTTCTGGGTCGACCCAATGCCAGACGCCAGCACGGTCTTGGCACTCCAGTCCCACACGGCAATGCGATGGTTCTCATCCAGCCCCACCGACACCAATCGAAGGTCGTTGCGATTGGAAAAGGTTAAGAGCGCAATCCCCGTGTCGTGGAACTGGCTCAGCAGTGCCAGACACTCCATCGTCACAGGGTGCCACACGTGAATGGCACAGTCAGCACCAACGTCTCCCGTCGCCACTTTGTCCCCTGATGGACTCATGGCCAAACATAAAATTTCATTGCGGTGGCCCTGCATTTGCATAGCATGACGTGACTGTGAACTTTCGACTATGTGGCAGTGAAGGTTGAAGGTCGACTAGGTGGGTACCTGGTAATATCGTTGTTCGTGGCGAGAGCTGTTGTACACAATCGCATGGCGGGATACAGTGTACACGATGTCCCCTGTGGCGGTGTACCGAACGTTGTTCCGGGTGTCGTGGGCACGGTAGCCATACACCCATTCGAGAGACAAATTCACGGGGGGAAGACGAGGGGGCGGTGCAACCGCGGGCGCGCGTGAAGGTTCCGCAAGCATCCACGGCTCGAATTCGTATTGGTTTGGGGACGGAGAGGGGGTGATGGAGGATGACGGTGCGAGGACGGCCGGGAGAACGCACTCTAGCTCAATGTCCGAGTCGTCGTCGCTCGCCTAGATCAATTTCAATCAACTGACGTAGCAGACAAATCATGACGGCGTACCTCTTGGAGCCACTCGGCTTCGGGCACGCGTTCTTTCGCTGTTTCGGAAATCATACGGAACGCCTCCATGTAAATCATGAAGTCGCGGTTGCTTCTCGCCCACGTCACAAACTCGTCGTAGTTGAGCGCATCGGTTTGATCCTACTCGATGCAAACGGCGTTCACGTGATGAAACCATTGGGTTGGACAGTACCTTGTCAAAGCGGGAAAATGCTTGCTGGGCCACTTCTACAAACGTCGGAATCGAAGGGACCAAGGCAATGCGGCCGCCTGTGAGGACTGTGATACCGCTGTAGCAAGACTTCATTAGCAATGCCTGGAAAGCAACAACCACAACTTGGTCAGGTGTACACGATATGATTCGGTAGTTGTACCAGCTCAATGGGAGACAACGACCCGTTGAGATTGAAATCGAAAACTTCAAAGGCAACTACTCGATTGAGTAAGAACGACGCCAGCACTTTGCATCACTGGGGCACGTACACCGAGCTCGATCTTCAAATGTGCCTTGGCACACGATGGTCAATCCACCAATGAACTCGAGGCCGTCGATCCGTCCGTCCTGTTTTCCATCTCGCGTCGCGTCTAAGACGGCAAAGATTTCCTTGGACGATACTGCCTCCGGCTGCTTGAGTAGTATCAACGACTCGAGTTGACTTTCCGTGATTGCAAACCCCCAAGTCTTTTGGAATCGGGCGTGCAACTCGCGCACATCCGCCAATGTCCCTGCCACCCAGTAGTCGTTAGATGATGTATCCCATCATCATGCAACAAGCAGGCGTAGTCACATAGCTACATACATTGTGAAAAGTACTTGGTCTCTCGAAGTAACTCGACAGACTCGTCGCTGTTGTACCGATGCTTCCCTAGGAGCATACCCATGGTGCGTATTGTGTGTGTGTAGGGTCGACCAAATTCGCGGTTTGCCATTGGCCTGCGACGTTTCAGATTTTTGCATTGGCCAATCACAATACTCAAAACCGTAGAAGGATCGTCAGGATCGTCCGTTCAAAAGCAATGTGAATACGTATGAAATTGCGGTAAGAGCTGCACAGTCCTGTATCGCGAACACGGAATCACGTGCATGAGGAGCATTACAGTATGTATACATACTCCAAACTCGTTTATAAAGCAGAAATGGATAAATGCGCCACATCTTTGTCTACTCTAGTAGTTGAATGGACTGCAAACGTTCAATCGCAAGGGCCAACGACACGTCCGACTTGCAGTACGCAAACCGAACAAAGCAATGGCCATTGGCTTTGTTGGTGTGGCTGTAGAACGCGCTGGTAGGAATCGTGGTCACTTGCTTTTCAATCGTCAGCCATCGACAAAACGCATAGTCTTTCGGCGTGTTCCCGTCGTCCAAGTAGGACGCAGGCACGGCCACGCGCGACACGTCGGCAAACAAAAACGTGCCGCCTTGGGCCAGCACCACGGGGATGCCCAGCGCAGTTAAAGCAGCGGCCAGCCAGTCGCGCTTCTTCAGGTACTTGTCCCCTAGGTATGCATAGTAGCTCGAAAACGACTCGAATGGACGCACGGCCTTCTTCAACATGGTCGCCACCGCTTCTTGCAATGGAGCTGCGACACTGGTACAAGCGACGTCAGCATCCATAGCACTCTAGTTGTTTGAAGCAAGTAGTTACCAAAACATGACCCAGTTGTTGGCTAGGTTTAGCCACTTGATCAAGTGCGGTGGCCCGACTGCCCAGCCCACCTTCCACCCCGTGACGGAGAACGTTTTCCCAGCTGACCCCACCGTGATTGTGCGCTCCCACATGCCAGGGAGCGTGGCAAACCTCGTCAACGGGGCAAACACAATGTGTTCGTACACGTCGTCGGCCACCACCACCACGTTGGGGAAACTAAAACATCACAGGTCAACGCGGTATTCGACATGCGAGAGGGTGGGTACGCACCACTTGACCACCGATGCGAGCTGCTCCAGGTCTTGCTTGGGGAACACAGTGCCCGTCGGGTTGTGGGGGCTGTTCACGACCAGCACGCGTGTCTTGGAAGTAAACGCAGCTTCCATGGCGGGCAAGTCCAGTTCGAATTGGGATGTCGACTCGTTGAACGTGAGCGGGACAAACACACACACGCCGCCTGCCATTTGCACCTGGGACGCATAAATGTCAAAGGCAGGCTCGATGAGAATGACTTCGTCGCCGGGATTCACGAGGCCCATCATGGCGCTGTACATTATCTCGGACGCCCCGACTCCAATCGCCACTTCGGTCGTCGGTTCGATCGGCACTGGACGGGCCAGCGACGTCGTGTAGTGCTTTGCCACTTCACGCACGAGACGCAGGTGGCCTCCTGGGCGAGCGTATTGGTTGACGTCGGCATCGATGGCAATTTTGGCCGCATCTTTCACGAATGCGTCGCACGGCCAGTCCGGAAAACCTACCATCATGCATGACAAGATTGAAGCAGACGCATACAACGGGTACACTTGGCTCACCTTGGCCTAAGTTGACGGCGTTGTGCTTGATGGCAAGTGGGGTGAACTCATGCCACACCGTTGGTTGGTCAAACCCGTTCAATCGGCGAGCCATTGAGCAGTTCTAATATTGTCAAGTCGATTATTCGGTGGGGTGCTGGATCCATCAACCAATCAAAACCCACAACACAAATCAAGTGGCCAATCCAAATCACTCTTTGACAATATGAGAGTGTGACTGAAATTAGTGTGGTACTGGACGATCTTTACATACAGTACAAAAGTCAGGACGAAGAATCGATCGATTTGGCGAGTCAGTACAAAAGTCCAAATTTTGGGTAAAAGGACAATACCTGATAGGAAATGATATTAACCGTCGGGTAAAAACGGCCACCCGACGAAGTGGTCTTTGACCTAGCACTCCGGGTACTGTACATTGTCCTACTAATAGTACCGGTACTTGCATTTGCAAATACTGGTATGTGTATCGGTGTAGCATGTACACTTGAGCTGCAATGCAGTACTACTATTCGAGACAGAGGTCTACAGTGTCTTTTGCTCAGGCAGTGCTGGGCTTATCGCGACCAGTCTGATACCCGGCTAGGGTAAATACCCTTTAGGTAATTATAATTGGACATGTCGAGTGTGTGCACTTTGCCCTTTCGGACACGTGGCAGATTGATGCTACTTACTGTTAAGTTACGAGGGAATTGTTTGACCCGCATGTATAACATTGAGGATATATAGTAGTTCTAGTCGGTCATCGCAAGCAGCCATACAACACATGGCTAGGGCGAATCGGTAGTCGCCACTTGGGCTAGTTTGGCGTCGGCGGCCGACTTGCGACTGCGACGCTTGAGCGCCCGCTTCTTGTTGCGTCTCTTGCGTTGTTCATCGGTGAGGGGTGACGTTGAGTACCTTTCGTCGTCCGTGGTGGAGAATTCGACGCTGCCCGAGCTGCCGTCCACGGACCGGGACTTCCCGTCGCTCGACGAAGCGTACACCACGTCGTCGTCGTCGATGCTCAACAAGTTGGGGCGCTCTCGGTCCACAGGTGGAGAGGTGACGTCGGCGGGGGGTTGTTCTACGGAGGAGGCGGGGGTTGTTGACACGGTGACTGGAGTGGGGAAGACATTAACGGGTACGACAGCGATGCTGCCGAGGGGGGGTACAGTGGTTTGCACAGTGGACGCGTCTTGTCGCGTCACTGCCTTCGTAGCCCCAGCTTCGGGGACAACTTCATCCGAGTCAGTGACTTCTTCCACATCCGCTAGTGCATCCACCACTGCCACATGATCAACGACTACTTCATCTTTGAGTGTAGGAGCTTGCACCACCGGAACAGTTACTTCAGGGACTTGAATAGTATCATCTTGGCCTACAGGGATATCACCCGCTTCAAGTTCATCGACTCTTGCGACCACTGCGACATCGACCACAGCAGCTACATCAGTTTTCACCACGTGGTGGGCCAAGATGTCAACGACTGGGGATGCGTCGGTAACTGGCGCTTCCTCCGCCAAAACTTGCTCAGCCACGACTGCTACGGCCGGAATTGCAACCACTTTAGGCTCTTCCACGGTGGCGACTTGAATCACGTCGACCACAGGAGCTTCGTTCACGACAGCAGGTGATGGGGCAGCAACGATTCGCACTGCAATCTGCTACGGCCGGAATTGCAACCACTTTAGGCTC